CTAAACTCCAGATGATTACAAATAGCTTTGTGCTGACAAAGCTTTGATCTTAGCATTTTGCCAGGTTCTTTAGGCAACTGAATCAGCAGCTATTCTGCATTAATCACAAGGTTTATCAATTCCAACTTTATGTAACAAGCCTTGCATTTTTTAAAAAATCAGGCACCGCAAAGTCATTGTGAAAAGGATAGAGAAATAACTTCCAGTTATATCCATGTTAAATTTCAACCCTGAGTTTGAAGGTATGAGGTAGTCCTCATTTACCAACCATTCATTCAATGACTGAAGTTAGAACAGTGCTGAAAAAATAACTTTATGGCCAATTTATGACCATTTACAACCTTCGCAACATTCTCCAGTCACGTGATCACCATTACAGCATGCAGTATGCATTGTTCTGTGCCTGACTTTTTTTTTCTTCTCCCCCCCTTGGAGAGAAAGGGATTGCAAGAGAGTAAGCTGTTTGCTGTTCTACACATCAAAAGCAATGCAATTGCGATGGCAGCAGGAAAGGGTCAGGTAAAGGAGAGATTGCCTGCAAAAATTGCTTTTTTTCTCCCTGGCCCCCCTGCAGAGCAGAGAGTTTGGAGACAGGGATTTCAAGAGAGCAAGCTGTTTGTGTAGTGTGCCTGCGGCTCCCAGCCCTAGGCTGCAGCACAGTTGCATTGCTTTCAATGTGTACAAGACAGTAAGCAGGTACTCAAGCATTCCAAAGTGTGGGGGAGTGGTTAGGAGGCAAAGAAAAGTCAAAGCTGTGAAACTGATTAGTTTTGTCTCTTTCCAACCAGAAAGCACAGTCAAGGTCATGTGATTTCCCACTTAGTGACTGCTTTGCTTAGTGGTGGAGCTGCTGGTCCCAATTAGGGTCATTAAGCAGGGACCACCTATAGACAAACTGCAAGATACAGAAAATAGGCTGATTGGAAATGGTAGATAAATAGAGGTAGAAATTTGAGGAAGAAACAGGATGTTCTTCCTAGACTTGCTGGGTCCAAATCATATTCTGACCAGCCCTAAATACATCAGGTACTGGGAGAGGAACACATAGTAGAGTGAAAAGAAGCTAGTTTGGGGAAGGAACCAAAGAGCCAGCTCAGAAACACTTTGTGGGTGGCAAGGCAGAAGAGTGAGGGAGAGAAAGAAGAAAGGAAGATCATTTGGAGCTAGATGGATAGGAAGCACCTTCTGCTGGCAGAAAAATGTATTGTGAGTAAGTGGTAAAAGAGAGAAGACACAAGGGTCTTTGTGCAAAGAATTCTGGGCAATATGGAGTGTGAGGAGCTGGAGGTTTTGCCTGTAAGGGAACTACCTAGTGCAGAGGTTCCCAAATTTTCTCAGTTCACGGTGTCCTTAGTGTCTTAGTAATTTTAACATGGCACCTCACAATACCCAAGAAGCAAACTCACAGGGGCACTGTGAGATATTTTAAATTTTTGAAGGAAACATAGTGATACTAGGCTAACAGTTCATGTGATGTCCAACATATGTTGGGTACTGCTGTATTTCCCTTAAAAATGTAAAATACCCTGTGGTGCCCCTGTGAGTTCATTGTAGCACCATGGTACACACTTCGGGAACCATGGGTCTAATGGATTCAGCTAGAGGTAAATTAAGGTTTGGGGAGGGAAAGTGAAGAAAAGCAAATTAGAGGTGTAGTCCATCAGGAGGGAAGAGAGTGACAGAACTGCTACATGAAACTGCATTTCAAGACAGTTACAGTGAGCACGTTTGCCTAATTAGTGGGGAAAACTGGACTGTTTAAGTATGTTCTAGGTATCAGAAATGTAATGCCTCTTTAAAGGAGATCTTTCAGTCTATTATATGAGTAGCCAACAGCTAATTCTAGGTTTTAAGGGAGAGTATAGGTACAGCATAAAACTGGGAAGAACTGTGGTGCATGCATAGCCATCAGGAGATTAGTCACCAGCTAATGACAAGAGAAAGGAAACAGCATCCAGAAAACTCCACAAGAAGGAGGGAGGGAGGGAATATGTTACCCACACATTAGCCACTTAGATCCTTGTTTGGATTAGAGCAGCATATAAATTGTGGCAAGTGGGTAACTCATTCCTTCCCTCCCTCCTTTTTGTAGTTTTAGATATGCATGCATTAGCCCACCTTGATTCCTGTTACCTTATTATAAATTAAAGATCTTCTTATACATGAATTGCATAGACTGTAAGATAATACAACCAAATCAATTTAACAAAAAATTAACAAAAACAAGATTTGGACTCTCCTAAGGCTGTAATTAATCACAAGTATGACAAATTAATAACTAAATTAAAACACCAGGGTAAGGAAATTAAATATTAGTAGAGTAAACAAGACCTATAAGAAGAATTTTGTTTAACAGAAGTATTTTGAAAAAGAAACAAACCAGATAAATTGCTTGGTTTATTAACTGTGGAAGGAGCGAGAACTATCACTTCTATTTGGGATGGAATCAACATGATTCCATAATGAAGAAGGTGATGGAATAATCCATTAAACGTTACTCAAGATTATATAGTAATCCCATCTAGAAAAAGACTGGAAGGTATTTGAATACAACCTTACTTATGAAATTTATAGATCAACAAAAGGAAATTCTCAATAAATCCATTATAGAACATGAAAGCAAAGAAGCAATTAAAAACTAAAATTAAAACTAAAATTGAATAAAGCTCCAGTACTTGAGAATATTTCTGCAGTATGCTACAAGACCTTTTAAGGAATTTTGGTTGAGCCACTAACTCAGGTGATGAATGAGATTCAACAATGCCAAAAATTTACTTCATCATGGAAAGAAACTTTCATCTCTCTGATCTACAAAGAAGGAAAAGATCCAACCTGTTCAGAGTCATTTGAGTCTATTTCCTTATTGAACATACTATAAGCTTTTCACAGCAATACTCAGTAAGAAAATAAACGACCTTTTTAATTGAATTAATACATCCTGATTAGGACTGGATTTATTCTAAAGATACACGAGAGACAATATTAGATATATGCTGAATATTGTTAATATTATATATTTTTTAAAAAGCTAAGAAGGCAATTATATTTCTTGGTGCAGAGAAAGCTTTTGATCAGTTATAATGGCCTTTAATGCTTATAATACTGAAAAAGATTAATTGTGGCTTTAATTTTTTCACATGACTACAGAATATTTATAAAGAACAAGAAGCTAAGATGGTTTTTGATCACAAAATGTACCATAATGAAGGGGACAAGATAAGATTGTCCCCTAAACTTCAGAATTAAAATAATAATTCAAGAACATAAATTGAAATTATATGTTGATGTTGTATTTACAGTTATCCACCCAAAGGATTCTTTAGAATTAATAACAGAATATGATACAGCAGTATGGTTTGGCATCAGGTTATCAGATTAATATATAAGGATAAAATTCAAATTTTGACATAGATCATCTAAACTCAAATGTTGACATGGAACTCTGTTATTTGGTACAGGTATTGCTTTGATCAACGGTTTGCTTTGATCAACAAGGAAGAAAAGCAATACCTGTACCAAATAACAGGGTTCAATATCATTGCTACAAAAAACTCAAATATCTAGGAATCTATTAGACAAAAAATAATAAAGATCAATTTAAAAATAATTATTCACATATCTAGAAAAATATAGGTGGATATTTCAAGAGGGAGAAAATTAAAATTGTCTTACTTAGGAATAATTGCAGCCTTTAAAAATGAATATTTTTGAAGTGACAGGCAGAGGCAAGTAAAAATTACATATGGTCCAATAAAAGACCAAGGATTAAGTTCAAGATACTATAGGATTCAAAAGAACACAGTGATCTGGCAGCTCCAAATTTCAAACTTTATTATCAATCCAGCTGTTCAACTTGTGTCACAGACTGGATCATATCATCTTGTGGGTCAGCTCCCTCTGTTGAGGGAGCAGGAGTTTCAGATAGTTTGTACAAGTACCTTTGGACTGATGCAAACAGAAATAAGCAGTCCATAAGAGATAATACAGTAATAAACAGCACATTAAGTCTGGGATACATTCTGAGATTAGAAATCAGTCCAGACTTATCCTCTCTTGTCTTGTTATTAAATGTTCATTTTTATGAAGAGGAAAGTCCAAAGACATTTGCTCAGTGGAGAACACATTGCATAGACCGTGAGATTTAATTGTCAGTAAAACATGAGATTTTCTCTTCAGAAGGCCAGAACCACCCAACTGGTTTCACTATCTTCAAATAAGTCAAACAGTACTAAAAGAATTGCAAAAACAAGGGGGAACAATTAAAGACTTCATTGAATCTGAAAATCTTTTAACAAAACTCAGAGCATTTGTTGACCCATATTTACAAATTGTTGATCAAATATGATTCAGAGATTGAACAAATTAAATACTGTATGATTAAATGGATGCAGAATCAGGATACAGCAATTGATATGCAACAATAGGAATTCCAATGGAAGAACATTAAATTTACACCAAATATTATACTTAGAGAAAATTGGTACAAGATGCTTTACTGATGATGGTACATTACTCCAGTACTGATTGCTAAAATGGATAGTTCATGCTGTAAAAATTGTTAGAAATGTAATAACCCAGGTCAGATTATTTTTTCCCCCCATATTTGAGGGCAATGTAATAAAGCTGAACAACTTTGGAAAATGATTTGTGACAGAATGAAACAAATTCTAAAAGTTGACTTTCCTTTCCAACCTATTTTCTTATTAAATATTATTAAACCTAACCTAACCTAATATATACTACTGCAAAAGAATCTGGTGGCCTCAAATTGCATACATTTAGGAAATGCAAAAGTAATTTGTTTGACTGTAGTGACAGTTGGCATAGCACAATGGCTAAGAGAATATATTAGGAAATCTTCAGATTACTGCAGGCTTAAGTCCCTCTTCCACCTGCAATAAAGAGGATGATTATACTAACTTACTGAATGAGGCTGTCCAGACAAAGCATTTTGAACATTTTAAAGCATTATACAAAATTACTATTATTTCCACCCATACCTAAATGGAAGATATGGTGGATTAGATCCAGATAAAAGTATTCGGTAAGCTTCTTCTGGTGTTTTCTTCAAGTAAACTACCTACAAAGAAAATGGAGATAAAGAATCAATTTAATCTAGAAAATAAAAACATATTTACAATTATATAATTCATTTATATCAATATAAAGCCTCAATATAAATTGGATGAGACCTTGATTTCAGCTTTTTAATTCCTACAATTTATGCTTGAGAGTACGTTGATGCTTCAGAAAATTGCTTTTATTCCAAACTTAAAATATGAACTCTCCAAATCAAGTGACTCCACAGACATAACTAGGAAGTTTTATAGACAATAATATGGAAGTTTCTGATGCTTCTCACTTCCCAGATTAGCCAACAGCCCTGCTAACTCCTCCTCTCATATTTTTATTGCTTTAATATACAGGAAAAATAGGAAAAATAAAGATACAAGAAACAAAGAGAAAACAAAACAAAAACATTTTTCTACAGCAGATACATTCTCCATTCTGAATTCAGATGTTTCCCTTC